AGAATGTTGAGAAAGTGTAAAATTCTGCTCAACATTCCTGGACAATATTTCCTTTGCCTCTCCTAATGCTTCTCATATGTGGGTCTCTTTTACCTTGCAAGGACTGTATCTTGTTCAGTGCTGAGAAGCCACTGGTTGTTAACAAATAACTAATAAAAATGATTACACTAGCAGCAGCTAGAAATGCTATAAGGGGCTAAAAGCCAGCATTAACATTTGAATACAAGGAGCTTCCTTAAATATTGTATTTCTTCCTTAATGTATTTCTTCCTTAAATATTTTCCACCATATAAACACTACTATGAGAAATATTTAAGTATTTTAACATATTAGAATGTTCATGCTGTACAAAAAAAAAAGCACATGTGAATCAAATGCAGAAATGTAATACATTTTATAACAATGTTAAATCTGTGAAACAAATCAATTGGCTCAAATCATACTTTAAAAAAAAATAGTAGTTAGGCTTTCTCAGTTCACCTACTCCATTCCTCAGTCACTAAAAGGTTATTAATGTATTATTTAACATTAAAAAGGTCGCAGAGCAGTTTTTAAACTAAGAGATGGGGGGAAACCGATTGGTGCAGAGGAGCACGTGGATCAGACAAAGACCTCTCTTAGAGGAGAGCCTATTGATGGAGATTCTCTAGGTTTTAGTCAGGAGGAGAGGATAGAAGAGGATAAAGTATGGTCCAGATCAGACGAAAAACATTCACATAAAAAAAATCTGACACATTAGAAAATGGCAGACAAATAAACAGTGACAAGTTTTTAAAGTGCTTGTACACAAATGCTAGAAGTCTAAAATATAACATGGGTGAACTAGAGTGCCTCGTGTTAAAGGAGGATACTGATATAATTGGCATCACAGAATCATGGTGGAGTGAGGACAATCAATGGGACACAATCATTCCGGGGTAAAAAATATATCAGAAGGACAGAACAGGTCCTGTGGGTGAGGGAGTGGCACTATATGTGAAAGAAAATTTAGAATCTAATGAAACAAAAATCTTAAATGAATCAACATGTTCCATAGAATTGCTATGGCTAGTAATTCCCTGCTCTAATAAGAATATAACAGTAGGGATCTATTATCGACCACCTGACCAGGACAGTAATAGTGACTATGAAATGCTAAGGAAGATAAGAGAGGCTATCAAAATAAAGAACTCAATAATAATGGGGGTTTCAATTATCCCCATACTGACCGAGTACACATCACCTCAGGACGAGGTGCTCCCCACAAGGGGAGAGGCAATTCTCGATTTAGTCCTGAGTGGCGCGCAGGATCTGGTCCAAGCAGTAACTTATCATAGGACCACTTGGAAATAGTGACCATAATATAACAACATTTAACATCCCTGTGGTGGGAAGAACACCTCAGCAACCCAACACCGTGGCATTTAATTTCAGAAAGGGGAACTATGCAAAAACGAGGGGGTTAGTTAAAAACAGAAGTTAAAAGGTTCAGTGACTAGAGTGAAATCCTTGCAAGCTGCATGGATACTTTCCAAAGACACTATAATAGAGGCCCAACTTAAATGTATACCCCAAATTAAAAGACACAGTAAAAGAACTAAAAAAGAGCCACTGTGGCTCAGTAACCATGTAAAAGAAGCAGTGAGAGAGGCATCTTTTAAAAAGTGGAAGTCAAATCCTAGTGAGGTAAATAGAAAGGAGCATAAACACTGCCAAATTAAGTGTAAAAATGTAATAAGAAAAGCCAGAAAGGAGTTTGAAGAACAGCTAGCCAAAAACTCAAAAGGTAATAACAAAATATTTTTTAGTATATAAGAAGCAGGAAGCCTGCTAAACAACCAGTGGGGCCCCTGGACAATCGAGATACAAAAGGAACGCTTAAAGATGATAAGTCATTGCGGAGAAACTGAATTAATTCTTTGCTTCAGTCTTCTCGGCTGAGGCTGTTAGGGAGATTCCCAAACCTGACCTGTCCTTTGTAGGTGACAAATCTGAGGACTTGTCACAGACTGAAGTGTCATTAGAGGAGGTTTTGAAATTAATTGGTAAACTTAATAGTAACAAGTCACTGGGACCAGATGGCATTCAACCAAAGTTCTGGAAGAACTCAAATGTGAAATTGCGGAACTATTAACTACGGTTTGTAACCTATCCTTTAAATCAGCTTCTGAACCCAATAACTAAAAGATAGCTAATGTAACGCCAATATTTAAAAAGGCCTCTTGAGGCAATCCCGGCAATTACAGACCGGTAAGTCTAACGTCAGTACCGGGCAAATTAGTTGAATCAATAGTAAAGAATAAAATTGTCAGACACATAGAAGGACATAACTTGTTGGGAAAAAGTCAACATTGTTTCTGTAAAGGGAAATCATGTCTTACTAATTTAGTAGAGTTCTTTGAAGGGGTCAACAAACATGTGGACAAGGGGGATCCAGTAGTTATAGTGTACTTAGATTTCCAGAAAGCCTTTGACAAGGTCCCTCACCACAGGCTCTTACGTAAATTAAATTGTCATAGGATAAGAGGGAATACCCTTTCATGGACTGAGAACTAGTTAAAAGACAGGAAACAAAGGGTAGGAATAAATGGTAAATGCTCATAATGGAGAGGGGTAGCTAGTGGTGTTCCCCTAAGGTCAGTCCTCGGACCAATCCTATTTAACTTATTCATAAATGATCTGGAGAAAGGGGTAAACAGTGAGGTGGCAAAGTTTGCAGAGGACACTAAACTGTTCAAGGTAGTTAAGACCAAAGCAGACTGTGAAGCACTTCAAAAAGATCTCACCAAACTAAGTGACTAGGCATAAAAATGGCAAATGAAATTTAATATGGATAAATGTAAAGTAATGCACATTGGAAAAAATAACCCTAACTATACATATAATATGATGGGGCTGCTAATTTAGCTACAACTAATCAGGAAAGAGATCTTGGAATCATTGTGGATAGTTCTCTGAAGACGTCTACACATGTGCAACCGAAGTAAAAAAACAAACAAACAGGATGTTAGGAATTAAGAAAGGGATAGAGAATAGATGGAGAATATCTTATTGCCCTTATATAATAAATCCATCTTGAATACTGCGTACAGATGTGGTCTTCTCATCTCAAAAAAGATATACTGGCATTAGAAAAGGTTAAGAGAAGAGCAACTAAAATGATTAGGAGTTTGAATGATTAGGAGATTAAAGAGACTGGAAAAGAGGAGACTAAGGGGGGATATGATAGAGGTATATAAAATCATGAGTGGTGTAGAGAAAGTGAATAAGGAAAAGTTATAAGAAGAACTAGGGGCCACCAAATGAAACTAATGGGCAGCAGGTTTAAAACAAATAAAAGGAAGTTCTTCTTCACACAGTGCATAGTCAATCATGGAACTCCTTGCCTGAGGAGGTTGTGAAGGGTAGGACTATAACAGGGTTTAAAAGAGAACTAGAAAATTCATGGAGGTTAAGTCCATTAATGGCTATTAGCAGGGTTCAACAAACCGCTAATTCTACTTGCCCATGGAGAGTAGATTTCAGATGGTCGCTCCATGCACCCCATTCACCGGCGCTGCGCATGTCTGTCACATGCACGGTGGGACTGGCGAGTAGCTCTCGCCGCGGTTTGTCAAGCCCTGGTATTAGCCAGTATGGGTAAGGAATGGTGTCCCTAGCCTCTGTTTGTCAGAAGGTAGAGTTGGATGGCAGGAGAGAGATCGCTCTATCATCCTGTTCAATTCACTCCCTCTGGGACACCTGGCATTAGCCACTGTAGGCAGACAGGGTACTGGGCTGGATGGACCTTTGGTCTGACCCAGTATGGCCATTCTTATGTTCTTATGTCCTACACTCTTTGGTGCTCTCTCTAGTCTAACTGCAAGTGGGATTTAATTAGGCTTTTACCAGTTCCTGCTTAGAATATTTCAAAGGCTACAAGGCTTTTATGTTCACTAAATTTCCCTTTTTATAATCTCATCCCATTGATTCTGGTCAGTGTGTCCAGAATTAAACAGATCACATCCCCACCCTACTGTACATCCTGAA